ACAAACAAAAAGGAAACCACGAAATGCTGGATAGTGAAAAATGGCTAGGGAGGAAAATAAAGTTTGGGGAAAGAGCTGGTGAATGCTGGAGGGGGGTAGGAGTAGTGATTGAACTGAGAAAGTGAATTTTGAGCAAAGACTGTGTGGGGGGGGCACAGGTAGGGGATATATAGGTAGGTGGGATCAGCAGAGACAAAGGCCCTGAGGTGGAAGCAGCTGGTAATATTCAGAGCTGCTGGACTCTTGCTCATCTTTCATGGACCAGCTCCAAAGTCCCCTCTTCTGGAAAGCCAACTCTCCCTCTCCCCAAAACTGCCCAAGACAGAGGACATATGTTAGCAATTGACTCTCCCTGGGTCTCTGTCCCTCCGTCCCTCTTTAGGTTTGATGTCTCTGCTGTTTATCCCAATCAGAAGAAGTTTAGTACTTTCACAGAGGCCCCATACTCCAGGCATTATTCCACAGAAGTGGTGAGTTTGTGTGTGTGGCCTAGCCAATGACCTTGTGGGTCTCCCTACCATGGTGGGTGACCTGTGTACCTACCCCTGGAACCCTGAGCTCTGTAAGGGTATGACCATGGCCCACAGCACAGAGTGTGGCCCAGATGTGCTTAATTAATGCAAAACTACAGCAGCATCCCTGGAGCTCTGGTAGCATATAGTGCCAAAGGCACTTGACTGTTAACCAAAAGGCTGGCAGTTCAAACCCACCAGCCACTCCTCAGAAGGAAGATTAGGCAATCTGCTTCTGCAGTGATACCACCTTGGAAACCCAAGGAGGGGTTGCTATGAGTCAGATCTGACTCGAAGGCACATAACAATAACAACAACAGCAACATAGCAGCATCATGGAGGAAAGATCTGGCAGTCTGCTTCTGTAAAGATTATAGCCACAAAAACCCTATGGAGGAGTTATATTCTGTAACACATGGGGTTACAGTGAAAAGAGCACGAGTTTGGGACCACAGAGACCTGGGTTCCATTCCTAGCTCTTCCACTCACTAGCTAGGGGCTCTTGAACAAGTTCCTACGTTCCTCTGAGCTGTAATGAATGGGGCCAGGGTTGCTGCAAAGATGAAAGGAGAGAATATAAATAATAAAAGGCTTGACAAAGTTTAGCAGTTGCTGGGATGAGAGAAGGATGTCATGGCTGGGTTTACTCCTTGGTGCCAGGCCCAGTGCTGGGGGGAAGACCAGAGTGGGGCACTGTTTGTTCCCCTGTCTCCTAGCTGGGGAGGTGACTAGGGACAACTTACTCTGTGGGTGGACTGGGTGGGTGTGGCTGATTTGTCTCTGACATTTCTCTGACTCAGTCCCACATAGGACCTGGAACTTACAGCTCCAGGGAGACCTGCTTCAGCAAGAAGAAGCTGAGCAGGGAGGTGGGCACTGGCTGGGCCAAGACCCAAGAAGCCACCCGGCTGACCCAGATGCCCCACTTCCAGTACCAGGCCATCATGAGAGAGAAACAGCTGCAGGTGAGGCCCCTGGGGCCACGACCCTTACCACTCCAGGTGCCAGGGCCCAGTCCAGTAGTAGCTTCTTGAAGTGTGGCCTTCAATGTCCTCCAGGTCCCAGGAACATCACCTGTAAGGAATACATCCGTTAAGGAACACCATCATCCCCTGGGCTCCTTCCTGCATGGACCTTCCCAAGTTTAAAATTTTATCTTCTGCTCTCTCTTCTCTTGGGCAGAAGGAAAAGCTGGGTCCCGGATCCTACAACTTTAAAGACTTTTTGGAACAGCTGCAGCAGAAGCCAGGCAGCACCCGGGGGTTGCTCAGCTCCGGGGAGGTTCGCTTCCGGGGACTCGTCGGGGTAGGTGTCCTCACATATGGAGCAATAGTCCTCACCAGCCTCCACTCTGTCTTCTGGGCATTTGGCTTGGGTGGTGCCTTTTCTTAGGTCCTTGTCCTCTCTAGGCTTGACTAGGCTATCCTCTGGGTCCCCATTCCCCACTCTACTTTCCAGTGCTTCTTCCTTGAGCCCACTAGTTGTTACATATTCCTACATCTGTCTCCCCAACCAGATTGGGAGCTTCCTGAAGGCAGGAACAGATCTGATTTCTCTCTGGGCCCCTAGCACAGAGCTCAGTGCACATTAGGTGCTCAACAAATTCATCCATCTATATATCCATCCTTCTACCTGTTCATCCAGCAAGTAATGATTGAGCACCTACAAAGTGCCGTGCACTGTTAGACCCTTGGGAATCCAGCAGTGATGAAGACAAGGTCTCTCTGCCCTTGTGGAGCTGATGTCCTTGTGGTAGAGACAAGAATACCAGGAAACACATACATATATAGCCAGTGCTGTGAGGAGAAAAAGAAGCTCTGGTGGTTGGTGGTTAAAGCATTCGGCTGCTAACCAAATAGTTGGCAGTCTGAACCCACCTCCACTGGAGAAAGATGAGGCAGTGTATTTCCATAGAGATTTACAGCCTATGGGGCAGTTCTACTCTATCTTGTAGGGTCTGTAAGGTCACTATGAATCAGAATGGACTTGATGGCAGTGTTTTTTTTTTTTTTTTTTTTATAAGGAGAAATAAGATAAGGGGGCAATAGAGAGTAATGAAGATGCAATCCACAGAGAATGGTCAGGGAAAGCTTCTTGGAGGAGGTGGCATTTGAACAAAGATCTGTAGGATGTGATCACTGGAGCTTTGCATTCAGGCCAGTGGGAATAGCAAAGGTTAGACCAATAGGCAGGAGGCCAGTGTGGCTGGAGAAGAGTGGCCAGAGCCATGGAGAGGTCAGAGGAGTGAGTAGCTGGGTCAAGAGGATCTTGTCCCCAAGGCAGGGATCACTGGATTTATGCTTTTGGAAGAATACCCTGGTTGTAGAGGTGAGGGTTGGAGGGCTGCCATAGGTGTCCAGGCAGGAGATGATGATAGTCAGAGGTAGGGGTGGCAGGAAGGCTGCATGGACAGTGATGTGGGTGGGCATGACCATCTCATGTGGAGAGGAGGACACTGAGATTTGAGCTCAGTGAAGTCATGAGGAAGATGGCAGGAGCCACACCCACACCCATCTGAGCACTGCAGTTTGTGGAGTGCCCTCCTCCTCCCCAGCCTCCACTTACCTCCTCTGGTCCTCATCTCTCTGCGCCCTCCACTCTACTATCCTTTGCCTACTCTTCAAATGCACCACACTTTTTCGACCCAGGTGTTGCTTGTACTTTTCTCCCAGCATCCCTTTCTTCTAGGGAACTCCCTCTCATTTCTCAGTTCCCACCTCCAAGGTCCCTTCTTCCAGGAAGCCTCCCGACCCCCCACTAGGTGACATCTCTCCTTCCCAGGAGTCCTCCTTATGGATGTATGCTTAGTGGCTCTCCCCCACTGGGCATCAGCTCCTGATGGTGGCCCATGTCACTGCAGAATTCTCAGGGCCTTGCAGTGCCTGGCACACAGTAGACACTCAGAAAGTATTTGTGGACTAAATAAATACATGCATGCCTACTAAGTGCCAGGTGCTCCGAAATATTTTAATTCTTTACAACTATTCCAGATGAGGCTGTGGAGGGTAAGCAATTTGTTGCAGGGTACACAGCTGGCAAGCAGGAACTAGGATCCAATCTTAGGAATATCCAGCCCTGAAACCAGAGCCTTTCCTCCAGATCTCATGGCCATATCAGAGGCTGGTGCAGCCATTGTGAAACCATCAGGGGGCTGGAAATCACTTCCTTTTCCATTCAAGGGATCATGAAGACTGCACTTGCAGGTGCTATTGAGGGAGAGGGGATGCCTGGAGGCATTTAAAAATGAATCATTATCTTTGATCTAAAGTAATAGCTGACACCCAGCACTCACCACTTGCGAGACACTGTTCCAAGCTTTTGGTGTGCACTGATTTATTTAATGCTCAAAACAACCCCATGAAAAAAAAGTGGGTGGGGGGGACAAGGTTTGCTGGTCCAATAGAGCCTAGCGGAACTGCTGAGACTATGGCCCCTAGCTGTACTTTAGGTCTGGAATTATACCCACACCTGTGGTTTCCAGCCAAACAAAAGACAGGCATATGAGTTGAACATTTACCTGAGGTAGATACACTCCTTGGAGAGAACAATCACGGGGAAAGAAGGGCTGCTTATGCACAGGGAGACAGTTCAGGGGGCAGGAGTGCATGGAGGGATGAACACAGGGAAGAGGTAATTATGGGGAAGAAGTGGGAGGGGAGCTGTTGCATTGTGGTAAATTGTGGTCAATGTCATGAGACAAAGTGTATGTGAACTGCTGTATGGAAAGTGAATTTGTGAATTAAGAATCAATATCAGAGTTCCAGCAATATAGCAGACTAGGCAGAAAGACTGCACAGACCATCTTCAGCAAAGAAAAGGGAAACCAACTAACACAGACACAGAAGATAATCTTGGACCCCTGAGCCTTGAAGGGAAGGATATAGAAGTGGACTAAACCCCAACTAGCAGAAAAATTTGTGTGAAAATACCAAAAAAGGAGACATACGGAGCTGCAGTCTGGCAGTGATCCTGAGTGATCCTGATGGCACAGACAGCTTGGAGATTCCTGAGTGGTGGTAGGACCTAAGAATTAACCTAAAAATCAGCCCTGTTAGCCAGGGACTGCACAGAGGACTGCTCTGGTGGCTGGGGAATAAACGGATAAGGTGAACAGAAAGGTGGGATGAGCTGTGGACTTTTGCTGGTCCGGAGGGCACCGCCATTTTGAAGGTTTAAAAGCAGCTTGACTATTTTGGATATTTAAAGAGATAGCACTCTTGCAGGTTCCTGGGGCTTAAGAACACATTCTGCTTTCCAGCAGCCCCAAGGACACTCTGGACTTGCAAGACTGAAAAGTTAACAGAGATCTAAATACAACAACGCCACGATGCTTTGGAGACAACAGACCACCACAGTCCACATAAAGAAGCAGGATAAAGCGGTAGAAACAAGGGAGCAGGATACAGACCCAGAACACATCCCTGAGGAAGAAAAAGCATTGGAACTCTCTGATAAGGAATTAAAAAGAATTATATTTAGGTATCTTCAAAGGATTGAGAGACAGACCAAAGAGAAAACAGAAAAAATCCTAGAAGAATTTTGGAAGAAAATACAAGAACAAAATGACAAAATAAATGAAAAATTAGAAATGATTCTAACTCTACAGACAGAAATCCAGAAGATTAATACTAAATTGTCAGAAATAGATAACACCTTAGAAGGTCAAAGGAGTAGAATTGATGCAATGGAAGACAGAATTAATGAGATTGAAGATAAATACATGAATACTTCTTTGGAAAGGGATCAATCAGAAAAAAAAAAAAAGAAGAAGAAGAAAGCCTAAGGCTCATGTGGGATACCATCAAAAGGAATAACCTAAGTGTCATTGGAATTCCAGAACAGGAAGAGAAAAACAAAACCACTGAGAAAATTGTCCAAGATTTGCTGGAGGAGAACTTCCCTGAAATGATGAAAGATGAGAATATATCCATTCAAGAAGTCCAACGAACCCCAAACAGAATAGACCCCAAAAGAAAATCACCAAGACACATCATCATCAAGCTCATCAAAACCAAAGACAAAGACAGAATCCTGAAAGCAGCACGGGAAAAACAAAAAGTTACCTACAAAGAACAGCCAGTAAGAATAAGCCCTGATTTCTCAGCAGAAACCATGCAAGCGAGAAGACAATGGGATGGTATATATAAACCCTGAAAGAAAAAAATTTTCAACCAAGAATTATATACCTGGCAAAATTGTCCCTCAAATATGATGGTGAAATTAGGAGATTTCCAGATAAGCAGAAACTAAGGGAATTTGTTAAAACCAGACCAGCCTTACAAGACATGCTAAAGGGAGTCCTTTGAACAGAGAACCAAAAATAGCAAATAACAGCTGACCATTAATACACAAGATGACATAACCCAGAAACCACAGCTATGGACATATCCAAAGTAAAATGAGCTTACAAGATTGTAAACAGGGAACCAGAGACATCAATTGGCAAGTGAGGACAACTACAAACAAAAAGAGGGAAAAGACTGTGTAATTACAGAACTTCTAAATGGTGAGGAAGTTAAGAGAGTTGCAAGATAGAATGGACTGTTCTAAACTCAGGGAGAAAATTATAAATCATAGGATAACCTCAAAGAAAAATGATAAACCTTCACATCACAATAAAAAAGAGGACAAGCACAAATATTCAGCATATACGAAAACAACAGCAACAAAGGAAATGATAACACGACTCATAAACATAACGAAAATGAATTTGCTCTGTAAATTTTCACCCAAATCACAATGAAAAAAAAGAAAAAACAAACAACCCAACCCCATAAAGTAGGTGCTATCATTATCTCCACTGTACGGATGAGAAAACTGGAGTACAGTTTTCATGGAGTACACCCATGGTCACAGAGCTAGTGAGTGGCAGAAGCCGGATTTGAATTCAAATATCCATACACTTTACCCATAGGCTTGGCTTGCTTAGTTCTCAGGTTTTGTTCCGTGGCTGTGTGTGGAGGACAAGGTTGAGTGTCAGAGCTTGGCCTATCTAATGGCAGAAGCTGTTGGGACAAGTCTGAAGCTGTCTGTTTCCTTCCTGTGTCCCCAGCCCCCAGCCCTGGGGCGTGTGGAGTGTTTGTTGAACGCATAGAAGAGTGAGTGGTGACTGGCTGGTCTGGACACTGAGCTGAGGAGGCCACTAGGTTCCCAGCCCAGGTCTCAGACAAGATGACAACTGAGAAAAGCACGCCTTGGGTCATGAGCTTTCCCAAGGCTTCCTTCTGTAGTCTCTTCTTCTCCTTGGCCCTCACACCTGCTCTTGCAGTGACCTCAGCTAGGCCTCTCTCCTGGACTCAGGGCTAGACAATAAGCCCAAGGAGATTCTGAGACCTGGGCTGGGAACCTAGTGGCCTCCTTGGGTCTCTGGTGACTGGCTGTCCCCCCATCCTCACCCCACTGCAGGTCTACAAATGCCACCTGCACAGAGGGCACTGACCTCTCCATGGGGCCTTTCCCAGTGCCAACACTGAAGCCCACATGGAGGTCCCAGGAAACCTTCCCCAGGGAGGACTGGGCTGTTGCACCCCACTGCAGCCTCTTCCCCAGCAGCCCCCAGCAAAGGCAATGCCATCTCCTGTGGTTTCCGATTCCTACCGCCAGCTGGCACTGGGTGCTGCTGCCCACCTCTCTTCCCTCTGCATTCTTGACCCCCTGGGCCCCACAGCCTTGGATTTCCTCTGCTGGTCTCTCTCCATGGCACTTCTTTCCCCGCCTCTGCTGTTCCCACTACTCTCACCCAGCCAGGTCTCCTTGCACATGGCTCTAGAATCCCACCCTAAAAATCCTCCAAAAAAACCCACTGCCATTGAGTTGATTCCAACTCATCGTGGTCCTATAGGACAGAGTAGAACTGTCCCATTGGGTTTCCAAGGCTATAAATCTTTACGGAAACATAGTGCCACATCTTTTTTCTGGGTAGTGGCTAGTGGGATTGAACAGCTGACCTTTCAGTTAATTGCTGAGTGCTTTAACCACTGCACCACCAGGGCTTCTTTTAGAATTGCTCAGACACCTCAAATACACATACACACACTCCTCAAAATCTCCCTGAGGCCTGCTCTTTCCCTAGAATGGCACTGTCCAGGGGCCAAAGGCAGAAACCCAGGGCTACCTTGTTTTCTCTCTCCCTGCCACCCCGTCCACATCCATCAGTCACACAGGAGGGCTATGCTTTCACCTCCTTCATCTATCTTCTAGCTCTTACTCAGGCCATTGCACCTAATACCCGGCCTGGATGTGAATTGGATGCCTCACCCATTTTCTGGTCTCTATACCACATTGTCACAAAGCATGTTTATGCCTCAGAATCAGGTCTCAACACCTCGGCCCAGCCTTTGTCTCCTCCCAGCACACCTCTCTCCTCACCTTTGCAGGCACAGCTCCACGCTCCTTGCCTTTGCTCCCTCTGGCTAGAGCACCTTCCCGCCCTTCCTACACTCATCTTTTGGGGTTCTTCTCATTCTTCAAAGTCCAACTTAAAATAAAAAAATCTTATAAATGACAATTCCTCCATTCTCACACTCCCCCAAGAATTAATCACTTCCTGAATTCCCAAATTCAGGAGCTCTGGTGGTGTAATGCCTAAGGCATTTGACTGCAAACCAGAAGGCTGGTGGTTCAAACCCACCAGCCACTCCTGGGAAGGAAGGTTAGGCAATCTGCTGCCGTAGAGCTACAGCCTCAGAAACCCAAAGATGGATTGCTATGAGATGGAATCGCCTCGACAGCAGTGAGTTTGGTTTGTTTTTTGTATTCCCAAAGCTCTCAGCATAACAGTTAATAGTGGACTTTCACATCATCCCAAGTGTGCTACTAAGCTGCTCTGAACCTGAAGGTTTTAAGGAAGAAATGAGATCATGCAGACGAAGCTCCCGGCACCGGGCTTACCAGGCTCAATGAGTTGCAGCTGCTCTTAACCTTTTGCTATCACCCTTATTCCTGATGTCTCCCAGGATGGCTCAAGCTGAGGGCAGAGCCAGGTGGTCTTTGTTGCTTTCTCACCCCAGTGCCTGCCAGTATCTGACAAACACAAGAGACACTCAGAAAGACAATGAGTTTTGGAGTGGAAGCCTAGTGCTGGCCCTTTGCAGAGGTAGGACTCGGGACACACAGTTTATCTATCTGTGAATCAGTTTCCCCATCTGTTGACTGGGAGTCCCTGGGTGGTACAAATAGTTAACGCGAAATGCAGTCAGCTGGACTGCTAATCAGAAGGTTGGGAGTTCAAGTCCTCCAGAGGTGACTCAGAAGAGAGTCCTGGTGATCTACTTCCAAAAATCAGCCACTGCAAACCCTGCAGAGCACAGTTCTACTGTGATGCACATGAGGTTGCCGTGAGTTGGAGTCAACTTGGCAACTGGCTGTTAATTGTGGATGGTGCTGACTTCCTGACTTCCTGACCAGGTGAGACCAAAGTTCAGGCCTGTGAAGTACTTGACACACAGTGTAGAAACCCAGTTTCTCCCTGAGAGTTTTTCTTCAAATGCCCCTGGGGACCCCAAAGCCCTGAAGAAGGCCATGCGTAGTCCCTTTCCACCCTGTGTGGACTGCCCTCTCTAGAAGCCCTTGACCCGCCTCTTGCTGAGTTCCAGGTGGGGCTCTTTATGCTGCTCCCTCAGGGCCAAATTCCATTGACCAGATGGGCAGGGCTGAGACATCTGTGGAGCAGCAGCTCCCTCGTGTGGTTAAAAGGTGCAGGACAGCAGTAGGTTAGGTCCCTTCCCAAGGATCCCTACTCATTCACCCACATTGCCCAATGGCTCTCCTTCCTGTATATATACACGACCATACTTCTGACCCTGGCAACTGAGGCCCCAAATGGTGATTCCAGTCACAATTCTCAACCTCTCCTACCTCCTTCTGCCCCTGCCCCTGGACAGTCAGCCCTATCTGACTTATGTATCTGTGGCCACTATATGCCAGGCACTATGCAGGGGCTTTGAGGACATTATTTAACTTCATCCTAATTACTCTAGAGGAAAGTATGGCAATTCCCAATTGTTACAAATGTGGAGCATAAGACTCAGAAATATTAAGTGATATACCCAAAGTCACTAGCTCAGAAACAGCAGAGTCAAGATTAGAACCCAGCACTCCAGATCTTTTCAGACCACAGCACTATCTGCAGCATAGTGACAAAGCCATTTGTGCAAATGCAGGACTATGATGCAGGGTGTAAAAGGTGGAATTGCCCAGATAGAAGCAACCAATTATTTGAGGTTATAGGGAAAGGAAGCCATCTTTGAGCTGACTTTGCAGGATTATGAAAGTTTTCCAAGGCAGGGGGGAAAAAAAAGGCTGGAAGGGCATTCTGAGTGGCAGTAACTGCATAAGCAAGCAAAAGCAAGGAGGTTGGGCAGAATGGCATGTGTTTGGGGACAGTGAGGGGTCCACTTTGGCTGAAGTGTAGGCCAGAGGAAGGGAGCAGTAGGAGGTAAGTTGGACAGGCCATGTGGCCTTGGTGAATAGTCTGCATTTGGAAATGAAGGTCTGGGCAGTGGTAGAGGCTCACAGCCAACAATGCTGTGTGTTGGGAAATAGTTAGCATGGAGAGACCCTGAAAGTCCTGCTCCCCTCCCAGGGGTGAGGATTCCAGGTATCTCTTCCTCAGTTGCACTTGACTCAAGAAGTGGAACTAATGGCCTTTATGTCTCCCTCACTCTCTTTCAGAACTACTATCCAGGCCCTGGAAATTATGGAGAGAAGGGCAACCCATACACAAAGATGGAGGAGAATGCATGGAACCGGTCCCATTCTGAGGGCCTCATGTGTAGGATGACCAACAAGCCACCCCCCTTGGCTCATCAGGTATCCCCCTCACGTAGCCATGCCTTGCTCACCTTCCTGTACTGTCCCAGAGGGAGATGCCCAAGGTGGATAGAAACCAAGACCCTGAGACAGCAGTGAACTCACTTCAGCAGCTCTCCTGTGGGGATTATCATCTCTGCTCTGTTCTGCTCTAGGGAAGTGGCCTGGGACCAGGGACATATGTCTTCAAAAGTGGCATCGAGACGTACCTGGAACGAAGAGTTGGTACCCGTGGCCCTTATGACATTTTTACTGGTGACCGAACCAAGCCCCAGCCTTATGGACATTACTCTGTGCAGGTGTGTACCTTGTGGGATACAATGGGTAGGCTGGGGGTGGGTGGTCATTCCCCAGCAGGATGACAAGCCTCACCATTAGATGCTCAGAGCAGTTGGTATTTACTGATTTGCCCCTCAATAGGGAAACAGAGGTAGGCCACACAGTTGGTTAGGGGGAGAGCCAGTATTTGCTCTTGTGTATTTGTCTAATTACTTGGGGTTTTCTTTGGTCTCCACTATGCATTCACTCAGAGTCCATAGGTGGCGCAAAAGGTTAAGCACTTGACTAATAACCTAAAAGTTGGCAGTTTGAACCCACCCTGAGGTGCCTTGGAAGAAAGACCTGTTGATCTACCTTTAAAAGGTCACAAATTTGAAAACTCATGGGGTCTCCATGGTTGGAATCAACTTGAGGGAATGGGCTTTGTGTTCACTCAGTAGGTACAATTAGACCAGTTAATAGTCTAGGTGCTGGGGAACCAACCCTTGTGGAACTTGCATTCTGATGGGAAAAGAAACACAATAATCATTGAACAGATTAAAAAAGAAAATGATAGAATGTGTCAACTTGGTTGGGCCTGGTTTTGAGTGCCTGGGCAGCTGGATGTAGTTATTCCATATGATGAGACTGGTTATCAACTCCATGGTGAATCTACTGGAGCAGCTGAGTAGCTGCCTTAGGGATATGGTCTGCTTCCCGTATATAAGGAGCAGCTTTGAGAAGGGTCTCTCCAGCGTTTTGGCATGCTTGGATTCTGCACATAGCCGAGTCTTTAGTCAGTAGCCTGCCATGTTTCTGCCGATCTTGGAACTGTATCTGGACTTAATTAAACTAGTGGCCTGCCAGATTGTTTGGTAATCTTGGGAGTATGCTATTTTGTCAGCCTTAGGTTTGTTAGCCTCAACAGCCAGCATCTGCCTGAGTGAAAATATGCCTCCAGTTCCAGTGGGCCGGGAGCAAGAGGCAGAGCTGAAGCCCAAGGTCCAGGGGCCTTCACCCAGTCCCTAGAGTTTTGGCACTTTAAACTCAGACTTCTAGCTTCCAAAACTGTAAGAGAATAAATTCCTGTTAGTTAAAGCCATCTACCCATTTGTGGTATTTTCTGCTAGAGTGGCACTAGAGGTAACTGAAGGAGCTCTGGTGCTGTAGTGTCTAAGGCATTTGACTACTAACCAGAAGGTTGATTGTTCAAACTCACTAACAGCTCTGCAGAAGGAAGATAGGGCAATCTACTTCTGTAAAGATTTACCACTTTGGAAACCCAATGGGAGTTGCTATGAGTCAGAATCAACTCAATGGCAGTGAGTTTGGTTTCTTTTTTTCTTTTTTTTTCTTGAGAGGTAACCAAAACAGAGTGTTAATAGGTGATGAGTGTTATGGTAAAGGGCACCAGGGCAGTTGGTGAGAGGATGGTGGTGGTTAAAAGTTGAAATACTTTTGAGCTAGGTGGTAAATAGCCACTGTACCGAGGCTGCCAACCTGGGCCCTCCCTTGGGACCTCCCAGACATCCCCATGACCAGCTACTAAAGGAGTCAATCATGACTAGCTGCTAAAGGGGTTCTGCCCAGCACAGCAGGGCTTCAGGTATCCTTCTCAGGTGCTACGGTTAATGCCCATTCTGATTGGCCAGTGCCCGATTCAGTAAGTGTCAGTTAAATGAATGAAAAAGAACTAATGAATATAAGTTTGACAGAAGATATCTCTACCTATGTATTTATAAGTGCTGCAAATATATCCATGAATATAGTGAAGCATACAGGGTACAAAGTTATGGCAACTTCGTAGTCATAATCAAACACCTTGAGGGAATGAGTCATTGGGTGTTGGGGCTCAGGACCACAGTCTTGGACACTAGACTCAATGGGCATAACATAGTCCACAAGGATAATGTTTTATATCCTACTTTGGTAAGTAGCTACTGAAGTCTTAAAAGCTTGTGAACAGCCATCTAAGGTGCAACTATTGGTCTGTTTCTGGTTGGAGCAAAGAAGAGTGAAGAAAATCAAAGGCACAGGGAACAATTCGTCTGAAGGATTAATGGACCATGTGGGCCTCTGCCTCCGTGACCCTGAGACCAGAAAAGTTAGATAATGCCCAGTTACCACTGCTGACCGCTCTGAAAAGGATCACAATAGGAGGTTGTGGATAGAATGGGAGAAAAATGTGGAAAAACCGCTCAAAATCGCAAAAAAAAAGACCAGGCTAACTGGTCTGATGAAGACTGGTGGAAGCTCTGAGATTATGGCCCTTAGACATACTTCAAACTGGGAACAGAACTCAACCCCAATGCCTCAACTTTCAGCCAAACGAAAGACAGGCCTAAAAGATGAACAGTGACACCAGGAAGTCTCGTTATAACAATCAACCTTATGAGATCAAGAGGGCAGCATTTGCCCAGAGATAGAGCCAGGAAGATGGGCGAATGGGAAGGAAGGATGAAGGGAAGTGGTGGGCATGGGTGGAGGTGGGAAAAGTGCTGTTGCATTGTGGGACTGCAGGGAATTTCACAAAACAGAGTATGTACGGACTGTTGAATGGAAAACTAAATTGTTTTGCAAACTTTCACCCAAATCATAATTTAAAAAAATGAAAGAACTAATGGATAAATGTAAGCTGGGTTGTAGGGTGTGGACTGACTTTATGTCAGACTAACCCCAGCTGATGGGTGGGAGATAGTCTGTGTGTACCTGTCCAGGTCAGTGAGTCTTGAGACTGGCTGCCCCACCCTACCCCACACACAGCCTGGCCTTGGGATTCCAGCGTGGGCAGGGTAGTCAGTTCTACCTCAGTGCTGTTCTCAGTGCTATTTGTACTTGCTTTTCTTTGGTTGCCAGTGTGGTCAAGAAAGTGGGCTCTTGATTTTCCTGGCCTAGTAGAATTCTCTCTCTCTCTCTTTTTCTCAGAAACAAAAACCCAGGGAGCTGATGAGTTTCAAGAGCTTCGTGGAAGAACTGAACTCACGTCACAAGAAGAAACATGGGGTGTTTTCAAAACTTTCCCACAGCCTGAAAACTTCAGAGAAGAGTTACAGTGCCACCTCTAGCAAGTCCCCCAAAAAATTGGTCAGTGTTCCCCCTGTGACTTGCCTTCCTCTCTTGGAAGGTGGCTCTTCTGCATGTGGGTGTCTCTGTGTGTATGTGTGTGTCTGTGGGGGGTGGGGTGGGCTACTTTAGGGGAAAAGCCCAGTCTTGGGAATCAGACCTAGCTGGTTTCAATCCTGGTCTTGCTCTTAGCAGTCACTTTGAGTGAGTCTCTCTCACTCTGCAAGCCTCAGTTTACCTGTCTGTCTATGAGGATAATGATACCCACTTCACAAGGTAATTGGGACCTTGGAAGAAAGACCTAGTGATCTACTTCCAAAAAGTCAGCCATTGAAACTTTATGGAGCTCAGTTCTACTCTGACACACATGGGGATGCCATGAGTTGGAATCAACTTGATGGCAATTGGTCTTATGCAGTTAAAGCCTACAGCTTAGTTCCTGGTACCCAGGAAATGTTCAGCCAGTGTTGATCTCCACTCCTCCTCATCTCAACTCCCAGCTCTCTGGAGAAAGGGCAAAGAGGATAAATAAGGCAGAACCAAAAAAAAAAAAAAAACTTACTGCCATTGATCAAATCCAACTCATAGTGACCTCTCCTTGGGGTCACTATGGAAGTAGAACACCCAACCTTCCTTCTGAGGAGTGGCTGGTGTGTTTGAACTGTCAAGTCTTCTGGTTAGAAGTCAAGTGCCTTAGGCACTATACCACCAGAGCTCCTAACTAGGGCAGAGCATAGTATAAATAAGGGGTCTACTCTGATAGATGTTGCATTGATCATCAAAAAGAACATTTCAAGATCTGTCTTGAACAGTGCTGTCAGTGATAGGATAATATCCATAAAGAAGACCATTTAATACATCTATTATTCAAATTTACCCATCAACCACTAATGCTGAAGATGAAGGAATTGAAGATTTTCACCAATTTCTGCAGTCTGAAATTGATCAAACAGGCAATCAAGATGCATTGATAATTACTGGTGATTGGAATGCTAAAGTTGGAAATAAAGAAGTATCAGCAGTTGGGAAATATGGCTCTGGTGATAGAAATGATGCTGGAGATCTCACAATAGAATTTTGCAGGACCAATAACTTATTTATTGTAAATACCTTCTTTCAACAACATAAATGGCAACTATATACATTGACTTCACCAGATGGAATATGCAGGAATCTAATTGACTACATTTGTAGAAAGAGATGAAGGAGAAACTTTGTACCATCAGTCAGAACAAGGCCAGGGGCCAAATGCAGAACACACCATCAATTGCTCATATGCAAGTTCAAGTTGAAGCTGGAAAAAAGCCAAAGTATGCTGTTGAGTTTAGATATCACCTTAGTTTAAAGACAATCTGAAGAATAGATTTGATACATTGAGCACTAATAACTGAATATCAGATGCGTTGTGGTATGACATCAAGGACATCATACATGAAGAAAGCAAAAGGTCAATAAAAAGACAGGAAGGAAAGATAAGACCAAAACGGATGTCAGAAGAGACTCTGAAACTTGCTATTGAACAGAGGGCAGGTAGCTAAAGTGAAAGGAAGAAATGATAACACAAAAGAGCTGAACAGAAGATCTCAAAGGGCAAGTTGAGAAGATGGAGTAAAGTATTATAAGGAAATGTGCAAAGAGCTGGAGATAGAAAACCAAGCTAGAAATAACTGAAGAAAAAAATGCAAGCCTCCAGTTGCAGTACTGAAGGATCCTATGGGCAAAATATTGAATCACTCAGGAAGCATCAAAAAAGACGGATGGAATACACAAAGTCACGGTACCAAAAAAGAATTGATTGATGTTCAGCCATTTCAGGAGGTAGCATATAGCCAAGAACCAATGGTACTGAAGGAAGAAGTCCAAGTTGCACTGAAGGCATTGGCAAAAAGCAAGGCTTCAGGAATTGACAGAACACCAACTGATATATTTCAACAAAGGGATGCAGCACTGGAGGCACTCACTTGTCTATGCCAAGAAATTTGGAAGACAGCTACCTGGCCAACTGACAGGAAGAAATCCATATTCATGCCCATTCCCCAAAAAAGGTGATCCAACAGAACATAAAAATCATCAAACATTATCATTAATATCATATGCAAGTAAAACTTTTCTGAAGATAAATAAAAAAAAAAAAAAAAACAAACCAAAACCTGTTTGCAGCAGTATATCAACAGGGAACTGCCAGAAATTCAGAAGAGGATGTGGAACAAGGGATATCATTGTTGTTATCAGATGAATCTTGTCTGAAAGCCGAGAATACCAGGAAGATGTTTACCACAGTTTTATTGACTGTGCAAAGGCATTTAACTGTGTGGACCATAACAAATTATGGATAACATTGTGAAGAATGGGAATTCCAGAACACTTCATTGTGCTCATGTGGAACCTATACATCTATAGAGGCAGTCTTTTGAAAAGAACAAGGGGATACTGCGTGGTTTAAAATCAGGAAAGGTGTGCGTCAGGGTTATAGCCTTTCACCATACTTATTCAATCTGTATTATGAGTGAATAATGGGAGAAGCTGGACTATATGAAGAAGAACACAACATTAGGATTGGAGGAAGGCTCAGATGACACAACCTTGCTTACTCAAAGTGAAGAAGACTTGATGTACTTACTGATGAAGATCAAAGACTACAGCTTTCAATATGGATTACACCTCAATATAAAGAAAACAAAAATCCTCACAATTGGACCATTAAGCAACATCATGATAAATGGAGAAAAGGTTGAAGTTGTCAAAGATTTAATTTTACTTGCATCCACAATCAGTGCCCATAGAAGCAGCTATCAAGAAATCAAACGATACATTTCATTGGGCAAATCTGCTGCAAAAGACCTCTTTATGGTGTTGAGGAGCGAAGATATCATTTTGAAGACTAAGGTACTCCTGCCCAAGCTATGGTATTTTCAGTTGCTTCATATACATGCCAAAACTGGATAATGAATAAGGAAGACCAAAGAAGAATTGATGCCTTTGAATTGTGGTGTTTGCAAAGAAAATTCCATAGACTACTAGAAGAATTTGTTCAAATCTGTCTTGGAAGAAGTATAGCCAGAATGTACCTTGGAAGCGAGGATGGCAAGCCTTTGTTTCACATGCTTTGGACATGTGATCAGGAGGGATCAGTCCCTGGAGAAGGACGTTATGCTTGGTAAAGTTGTTGTTGTTATGTGCTGTTGAGTCGGACCCAACTCATAGCTACCCCTCCTTGGGTTTCTGAGGCAG